GAGAGCTCAAGAAAGAAGGGAAACTTACACGTCAATAAGCCATATGGTGAATCGCTGGCCCTTTGAAATCTTCTCCGATTCTTTCAGCCTGAAATTGAAGAGAACAGAAGTGACACTTGCAAGTCATCCTTGACTTATAACTGTCCGTTTAGTGGCCGTTCAAATATTTGCAAGCGGTATGCTGAGGAATATTATTAGAATGCTAATTAGCAATAGCACTTATATACCGCTTCACAGTACTTCATAGCCCCCTCTAAGCAGTTTACAGAGTTGGCCTCTTGCCCCCAACAATCTGGGTCCCCATTTCACCAACTTTGGAAGGACGGAAGGCTGAGTCAACCTTGAGCCAACCAGGATCAAACTGTTAATCTGCAATAGCAATAGCACTTAAGACTTATATATCGCTTTGCAGTGCTTTCTAAGCTGTTTACAGAGTCAGCATATTGCCCTCAACAATTTAGGTCCTCATTTTACCCACCTAGGAAGGGCGGAAGTCTGAGTCAACCTTGAGCCTGGTTAGATTCGAACTGCCAAACTGCAGGCAGCTGGCAGGCAGCAGAAACAGCCTGCAGTACTGCACTCTAACCACTGCATCACCGAGGCGCATAACGCCACATATTTAAGCAAAGGAGCTGATAAATAAACTGAAGTGGCTTGTTAAGTTCAGCTTAGTCTTCGATTTACAACCATTTATTCTGTGACTGTTCGAAGGTACAAGGGCATGGTCACTTGTGACCGTTTTTCACACTTACGACCGTTGCAGCATCCCCACCATCCCGTGGCTGCTTAGCAACCGGCATGAATTTAGCATGCACCTAGAAAGTTTGGGGTGATTTTTGATCAATAAAATAATCAATGCAGGTAAGTCCTCGACTTACGACCAGGATGGAGCCCAAAATGTAAGTTGCTAAGCGGGACATTTGTTAAGTGCATTTTGCCCCCTTCCACTTTCCAGCTTCCTTGCCACCGTTGTTAAGTGAATCGCTGCATGTGTTAAAATTAGTAACACGGCCGTTAAGTGAATCTGGCTTCCCCATGGACTTGGCTGGTCAGAAGATCACGGGGATCACACGACCCCTGGTCATACAACGGTCACAAGTACTGGCCAGTTGCCAAGCCTCTGAATTTTGACCACAGGACCACAGGGGTGCTGTAACGGTCAGTGTGTGAAAAACGGTCGTAAGTCACTTTT